TAAGATACATTAAATTTGTAAGCGTCATGTTTGTGTCGTTCAAACGCTGATTTCTGCTGACGTTTTTTTTTGGTAGTTGAATGCGTTGTTCCCTAGTACACGAGGGCAGGAATAACGGCGTCCTCTAAACTTTATTTTTGAAGGACAATCGTCTGAATACATTGGTGTCCTGTTCATGCATTTGACGTATGGCATACTGTTGTAATTTATTCGATAGCACTGTCTTTCAGTAAGTTGGGGAAGTCCTTTATTCATAATTTCGGGCCGCTGTCGGTAGCTGTTCCTCCTGGTAATCCAAAACGGACGGAGAGCCAACAGAACCATTCAGTCACAACACCCATCCATAAAGTGGAGCCTCAAGCCACTTGGAATAAAGGAAAATGGAATCCAGCATGTTCTTTTTTGTTCTTTGGCACTTGAGCGAAGGATCATAAGGTGTAGATTGTACTCTCTGGATGTGGTCGCATAGGATTTATGTTAAACTAAACCGGGTCTTTGGAGTTGTTAGCAAGTTTATGTACTGTTTGCTCTGCTGATGTGGGTCGCTGAACTATCTGCTTTGGAGGGAAACCAGTAAAACCGGCTGGGAACGTGATGTATGCAGCTGTAACAAGTTCGACAGAGAAGATCCCAACAAAACACAACGGTCGAAGTGAAGCAAGAATATGACCGGCTTGGGCAAGATGCACCGAGAAATACACACAAACACAAATGTTGTACGCATAAGCCCGAATAGCCGCTACATCTCTCGGTAATAGTTCCTTTCTTAGAAAAACGAACGTGCCCCTTGGTAGTTTGAAGGTGGTCAAGCAGACAACTCGCAATCTTCAGGTTAGGTTCATGGGTATTTCTCAGGTCTCCCATAGTAATCTGAGAGAGTGTGTAGTCCCGCAAGAAGAGTACAAGTGTCTATGTATCATAAGTTCCTCCAGGTTCGTTCGTAAACCCCATGAATCTAATTGAGTTCATACACATCATGGGTTGTTGTGTTATTGCGTGACCAATTAATATGTGACCACCAGTAAAACTGCCAAACACGGGCTTTCATATGTATGATTCTCTGATGACATTTACGGATGGAAACAGACTGTTAGAAATCTTGATGCGATCTCCACGCACGAGACATCTGACTGCAAATCGTGATTCATTCCATATGAATATAAAGCAGTAATATATCCGATGGGATATTTGTAAGTGACTAAACAGTGCAATAATACTCAGAAACTACAGAAAGGACTGCATCTTCCGGAATTCTGGCTGTTCGATTTGTGACGCACAACGGGCATTAATATTAACCGTCATTTTCGCTTCTTAAAAATATTTGAAGTTTTTCAATACCAATTGAGAAGAGGCATCAGACACTCGATTGTGTCCCAAGCGGGCACTAAACACCTGATCTGCAAATGATCCATATGCAAAGTAAAATAGGCGTAAATATCATTCTCACAAGTCCCCCCCACACACACAGGTGCTTCCTTCTCTCCCACTGAATAATATTTCTGTTGTTGAGACCAGCACTCCTTTCACTTAATCCCATTGTCGCCACGGCAACAGTCTAAAGGCCTACATCCCATACATAACTCGTCCTTGGGCATAATTCATCAGCATCACCGGCTCCAGCAAGTGTTGCGAAAACAGTCCTGTTCTAAATAGCAGGTTAGACATTTTCTTGATCGGCAACCCAGAGGAAAACTTTGCCGTCTCACATAAACTTCAGTAGTGGCTCAGAAGTAATGAAAAGGATATTTAGGTAGTGTAAATAGTAGGCACATAGACCAAGAAATTGAAGTCACATAATTGAAGAAATCAACCTCAGGAATCACATATAGGTGGGTTCGAGTATTCAACCGTCACTTCAAACTGTTCAACCGATTCAACACGACGTCCGAATTTCCCCAGTGATCCTCTGAAGAAGTGTCAAACACATATCTCATCCATGTATAAGCTTTGCACACTTTCAAATCTGCAAGAAGAAGCACACTAAACTTTTACCGCGCCGCTGCAGTGCTGCTAAGCCCCATGAGAATTATCTTATGTCGGTAAAGCCTATCCTGCGTAAGGGAAGCTGCCAGACGGTTCGAATCGTCCATGAAAAGCATGCGAAACTTCGCACTTCGTACATCCGGGTGTTTTCACTATCAGTTCACCAGCCGTCAGAACAGGGGATTTTTCACTCATCGTCTGTTTGTTCAGCGCACGTAAGTGACTGGTATACGCTAAATTTCGATCATTTTACTAATCGACCAGACGAGAGGAACTGATGAATTTAGCAGTCTACTAGGCTCGTTTTTCAGCCTCAGTCCTCCAAATGCAGATGTTGCGAATAGGTCTGATGAAATGATACGAACTCGCACCGCAGGGAAACTTGTTATGCGTATGCCCAATGTTGCACCCTTCCGTTGGTTTTCTCGCATGATATCCGCTCTTGGAAACCGGGACTAAAATACCGGTCGAACTCATGTTGTGCATCTGCTCTCCCTTATAAATATCTCACTTCCGAAATTAAAAAAAAATATTGTCCTTGCTCCTCCAACAGTTCACCAACCGTTCAGAAAATTGTCAGCTGTTGTTGTTCATCCTTCATTCGGCTATGTAGTGCTGACACGATACAATCAACAGGCATACTGATTGTGATTTGGTCGTTCAAATGTCACCGACAGCAGACAGTGATATGTAATTCCTTCACCTATTCAAGCGTTCAAACGAATTGACGCTCAAACAGCGTCATTTCCGGGTGCTTGAATACTATACTAAACGCTAGGTGACAAAATGTCCTATGTATTTCACATTATACTAAAATTTTGGTTGCAGGCTCGACGGGGATTGGGGAAATCAACAACTCGAACTTAAGACGATGGCGAATCCCGTTGAATCTCGAATTAAGAGGGTGGTGGATAATTGGGCTGACGAATTAACTGAGTGCCTGAAGGTCTTCGACCCCTTGACTGTTGTAAAAGTGAATTGCCTTCAAATCTGAGTAACTGTCGATTTTATTGTTTCAGTGGTCGACTGTTAGTCGTCAACAACTGGTGGGTGGATTATTTACTTGTTTTCGAATGGGTCGAATAATTATCTATTTTCTTTCAAACCGTATTATTGATTTAAGCCGTTTTTGTAGTTTACCTAAGTAATTCATTTTTAAATGTGAACGTTTACAGAACATTCCCAAATGTACCGGAGCAAATGAATTTTTACTTCGCGTTGCGTTGAACTGGCGATACTGTTTATTAACCTCAATTCATTCACCACTGCTGGCAGGCATCCAAATCAAGCAGACTATCCTAGAAGCATGAATTTTTCCCCAATAAAACCCCTTCCCTCGAGGAACTAAATCACCGAATACCACGAAGCGAATAATTTCTGTTTCCCTAAATGGCCTATTCACCCCCATGGGGGAAACGTCACATTCGGAACTCATGTCATTCACCTAGACTCAAGTGTGGACAGTGCAAGCGATTGCTATCGTAAGCACTGCTCACTTACTACATCACAGCACCAAAGGACACTTGGCCGAACTTGACCCGGGGTTTGTAGCTCGTAGCCAGTTTAGGGCAGGTAGCGCAAGAGACAGCCTGACGACCATTCACTGGTCCATTGCGCTGTGTTAGGGTGCGTCAGGACGGCAGGGATTAAGCAACAGGGCTTAGGCCGCGACAGAGAAACATTGAGTCGGTTGTGGAGTATTATGTGCATGTGAACTTACGGATGAGTTTGGTTATGATTGTTGAATATGTGTACAAAGCGCGTCCTGTGAATGACCTGGAAGTCTTCAACGAGGTTTACGGCTGCGTTTGTCACATCACTTGTCACATTACCACTAATAAGGTTGCGAGGTCACCAATTGAGCTGCCATACTCCACTAATATCTGAAGTTACCTTAGAAAGAATATACTACCAGGTACAAGTGTGTTGATAGTTTGATTTTGTAGGATGTACTATTGAGCCAACCTGTTCAAATGTGTGTGTCAACTGTAGCCACACATACAACAGCTCTGGAGAACAGCAACGCCATGGTCAAGGTACATATAGATAAGCGCAAAATCTTGCTTTTACGCGACGACTATCTGGGTAAAATGGCTGCTCCGGTCTAGGCTTGGGTAGCTTAGCACTATCTCATTCTTCGTGCTTTCTTCGTATGACATGGCAAACTGGCACAGAAAGGATCTTACAGCTAAATTCGCACCACCAATAGCACAACGGGTTCATCTCTATTTAAAAACTACAGGCGTATTATATGGAACGACTGTCGAGCGTGTTAAGCTATTTGGGTGCATCCCATCTAGTCTCTGCGGCCTTCAAAAGATGCATATTCCTGTCTAGGAAGGGCCTTGTTCGTCACTGCTCCCACTATGGAACATTGCACGGAGTTTTTTCCATGAACGAGACAGAACTTGTGAACGGCTTTAAATATGTAACACCGAGTAGGTCATGTATTTTATACAATGAAGTCACAGCAGCCCTGCTAACGACCGTTTTGTTTTCCCTATTTGCTTCCATGCTTCCACCAATCAGACTTTCTGTTCTGTCATTTGGTCTGAATGTAACTCTTCAACTCTTCGGGAGGAGTTTCATCATACTAGTCGCAAAGCATTCTCCACCTTTCATCGCTGAGCTTTTTATTTTACTATTTTCCGAAATTATCTGGCTATCCTTAAATTATTCTCAAGTCATATGCTTTCTCAGTTTCTCGGATAATTCCCACCTATTTGACTGATTTCCCATATTGCGACTCACGATTACTTCCTCTTTGATTATCGGACTGAATCTTCTTACTTTTGAAGGTAATGCAATGGTTGCTCAATCTAAGGCATTAAGAGGATGACAATTTCAAATCACCTATGGGGATTCCGGCTAGCCCTAGTACGGAAATTAATGTCATGGTATATAGTCCATACATCTTGTTACAGTCTCCAATGACGCAATGCGCCTTGTGAAAATTTCAGTTCCTTATCCGTTATATTTGTGTTTCAGTTTGTCGGTTCACATAATATCATTTTCAGCACTCAGAGAACAGGAACTCCTCCGGTGACCATAACATGCCCCTACCAGTAGCGGCGAATGGGAATGGCATTGCACTACAAAGGTCCTCAAATCATCGGTAAGTTTATCTCCGAGAGGTAGTACACAATAGTTCCAGCCTTTGTGTTCACTATGCACTCAACTTCAGCAATTTAGTTCACCGGAAATGCAACCGGCTCAGCAAACAGAGGGGTAGAAATATACTTACTCAATGGTTCATTCCAGTGTTCCGCAAATTAAGAACCAAGACTATGGTGCGAAAATTATGCTGAGGATATTTTACTAGATCGGTCCCGAGAGAAACATACGAAGCCGAAGTTAGATGATCTTGGCTACGAGTTTCACAGATCTCATACAATTTACTGTAGTTCTTAACGAGAAATGCTGCGTGGACCCTTGGAAGCTAAAGTGCACCTTCGATCTCGATGGTTACGATTGCGCTTTTTGCCCAGTGATTCTCCATCATTATTTGGTTGCATGCAGACAATGTGTGCACTCTCGAACAAAGGTCGACTTGTTCTACATATGTTCTCGATATAGCATATTACAACCCCACATTAGTCCTTCCTGAAGATACAGTGAACTAGGCTGAGCGAGCCATGATGGTAGTCAGGATACGTGAAGAATTGGTCTACTTTGAGAATACCGTCGGTCACTGCACAATGCATGCGCGGTAAATCCGTGTGAGTTCTTTACGACGTGTTCACGGAATAAATAAACAAGAGCTTCATTTTTCGGATATATGAGTAGCTTTATGTGTCAACCACGTCTACGCTTACTCATGTAAAGCTGTTCTTGTCTGGATTCGTTTGATTCTGTTGTTCCCCTCAAGGAACTATGCACTCTTTTCAGAAGAGCTTGATAAACAATCGGTAGTTTTTATTTGGACAACGTTTCACTTTTGACACAAATGCTTCATCAGGCCAAGTGAGCAGGTCACCAAAGTGGCCAGGTTATAAGGCAGGCGGGGAACCAATCAGTAAGTCAATCCTCTTCAGATTATCACACTAGATCAGTTATGAGTGTCAATTAACGGCTCTTGTCGGTTAGTAAAGTGACTGATCGCCGAGGTGGTAGAAATCACCAGGCATCCCAGTGTTAACAGAATAGGTGTGGAACTGGCAAGCATGTGGAGAACGGTTCTGGATCAGTCGAGCTGACACGTGTTGGTGTGCAATCATCGGAAGGAAGAGTGGTCGTCATTTGAATTCCACTTGACCTCAACCCCACTCAAACTAAATTGTTCGCTTTTGTTGCACAAATAAAAACTAACGATTGTTTATCAAGCTCTTCTGAAACGATGACTTCTCAATCGATTCGAAACTTTTTTCAATTGATTGAAAACTATGCACTCTGTTTATTCCTTTTCACCCACTCATAGAATAGATTTATCTCGCTCAGAATTGATACGTAGCTTCGGAGGTAGACTCTGTTCGCTGGAGCTTACCGTCATGTAATACGTGTCCCGTGCACTCGTGCTGTGAGATTTGCCGCGCACTTTATGTTGTTGCACATCTCTGCGCCATTCCTCATCCGGGGGTCTTCCAGTGTGATATTTTTCCGCCTGAGCGAATAGGTCACTGAGTTCAAACTTCTGAATTTCAACGCACAAAACTATGAGACTGTTGATCCACTTAATACCAGAAATTTATGTGCATTTCATAACTGTCTGGTCCAGGCTAGACGCGTTCCGAATTATGCTGTCGTTGATGATGATGATGATGATGAGTTAGCGGGGAACTGCAAAAATGACATGTGGCACTGCGCGCACGGTGTGTTATTTTTGCCGGCAACCTCCATGCTTCCTGTTGACTTACCATCCACTTAAGTCGCTACTCTATTAGACTTATCGTTATTTCAGCACCTGATTTACTTGATGGTGAACGTAAACCTGTGATTTTCTAGATTCCCCATTTCACACATTGTGGATCCTTTTTGTGATCGTATTTAAAACATGAGTTAATTCGTCGCCGGGGTTGTTCCGCGTTTCGTTCAAGTAGTCCGAAACGTGGCATGGTGTGCGTCTTCTCGTATGATGCAGCTGGATTTGAATTGATGGAGGGATAAACTACCGATGGCCTTTCGATGTCCTTATCAAACTTAGTACTTTTGCTGGCTAAGTCCACCTGTATGACCAGACCACTCTTGCAGATCCCTGTCACTGAATTCGTCCACGCCAGTTTTGGTTGCGCTGAGCTTAAATTGATTTGGGCCTAGAAGACTTGAACACTCTGGACAGAAGGCTTCCTAAAAGATGTAGAAGTTTCACTCAGGACGTCACCCGATCAGAACTCTCAGCACTGGAGAAAACTGATCAAATCTGACTTGCTGCTTTCACTATCTCAATGTAAATGGTTGAAGCTTATCTGGAAATCACGTAGCATTTGGTTTTCCCTTTTCAACCAAGTTAAGAAGTGGCCTATACAGAAAACTCCAGCTAACTTATGAGCTTTGAAATTTCAAATTCAGATGCATCTTTTAATTTTTTCAAGTCACACTGGAATCATCATCATCATCAACAACAGCATGACATCAGTGCTCAACACCGATGCTTCACTGCCGTACACCCATGACTTATTTGAAAGCCTTATTGTAAAGAAAAGAATAAAGGTGGATGGGGGGGACTTAGTGCTAGCTTAACACAATCATTCCGAGGTGCCTACACCTCCAGACATTCACTCAGGCAATCTGGACAGAAACTGACTACAAGAACGCCACTGACATCGGTTGGCAGCCATATCTTGTAGTGTCTCCAACCAGGCACAGTGAGGATCACGCGGTCCCCATCCAGGAAGGCGAGTAGCACCGACAGCACCCAAGCGTTTCGTGATCTCCTTCATACTCCTCTGC